GGAAGGGCTCTTGGCTGGCCCCGTGAAGCGCCGTGCTCTCCTGGGGCGGCTCCGCAAGAAGAGGTCGGAGAGGCGAGGCAGCGCTGCCTTGGTTCCGCTTAAATAAAACTCTTTTTTAAATTCAATTAGCGAATATGTAATTCCTCAGAAGCCCCTGCGCCGTTACCGGGTTGACTCGTTAACGAGTGCCGTTACCGGTGTGTGTTCAAGGCATCGCGGGGCGGCAGAGGGGGTTCTGCCGGCCTGGTGCGGTTTCTCGCCGTGATTGAGCCTGCCTGGGGTGAAGGGGAAAACCAGCTCTCCCCCAGCTCCGCTGCATGCTGCTCGGACGTGGGAACCTTTCTTTACCATTTCCTAAAATTAAAAATCTTGTTAGGGGGTACTGGGAAAAAGTTCCCCGCTGAACATCTTTTGATACGTGGGCAGTGGCAGTGCCAGTTTCAGCAGGCGGAATTGTAACACCACGGCCCATGTGAGGCACTGAGAAAGGTAGAGGGCAGTCTGTACCTATAAACCAGAAAAATCGAGGCTGAGATTAATTACAAAATAAAGTTAGAGTTCTCCCTTCCTTGTCAGTTCTGGAGTTTCAGTTCAATTGTAGAGTTCCTCTTCCTTTTCCAAGGAAAACCCTACACTCGTGTCATTTGGCTGACTTGCTTCAATGCGTTTCTTAGGAACAGCAGCTAGCTCATACTGCATTACGTGTTTAAAAGTTTTCTTCCTTTACAGATAAAACCTTGTTCAGAGCTGTCATTTCCTGTGAAGATCTACTTCTGTGTCACTATTCTGTCCCTGCTAAGTGTCATAGGGCTAACCATAGAGACACTCGTTCGACAAACAGAGGAAGATTTCACCGTTTCTCTTATTCAGTTAGTCGGAGTTGGTAAGAAACATACCATGTTTTAAAACAAATATGTTTTTTCCCAGAGTAGTAATGAAGCAGCAACTGAAGTTTCTTATTCCACTCCATTTGGCCTGATACATTACACACAGAATCTTCTGCTAGTTTGGCACTAACAAGCTAGATGCTTTTCCCGTTGTTGCTTTTTCCAGTAGTATTTTAGGGAAAGGATCAGTAATAGATATGGTGTCATCCAGAATACATTCACGTCTGAATAAATATGCAGGCTTTAGGAAGTTTTGTTATAATTGGCTTTTTAACCAGTGTTTCATTAGGCAGATGTGGCAATGATTCTGCTTTCAGACAGCTGTCACTTTATGTAAGGACGTTCAGCTATGCTAGAAAGAGCTTGCCATTTCCCATTTTAATGTCTGTGCTGTAATACACTGGGGAGTTCAGAGGTGCCCACACTCCAAGGCCGGTCGTAGAATGTTTGTCTCCTGACAGGAGCCATGCTTACACCTGAGTTGTAGTTGGTTTCAAGACACCTTCTTACATTGCAAGAAACACGCACAGTTTGATCTGAAACAAGAAAATGTTGTCATCTCTCTATGTTAATTTTCTACAAGGATGTCGCTTCACCTGAAGTACTTTAATAAAAGAAAATAAGGACCTTATTTTATTAAAAGCTCTCTCTTTTTTTTTGGTCTAATAATTTTTGTCCCACTGGAAGCAAAACCCAAACTTCCTCGGATATTTCCAATTAGAGTTTCAGTAGAAACTTCTGTTCATATTCCTGCGTCCATCTGTATTAAATGGAAATGAAACTTAACATGAAGATAAATACAACTATAAGTATTCTAGGAAGTCCTGTTCAGTGGCTTTAGCAGGTTTTGGCTGTTGGCTTGCTGGCCAGAACAGTGTGGAAAAGAACAGACTGTCTGTGGGTGTAACAACTTCTGCGCGAGAAGGACGCGCTAATCATAAGCGGTCATTGCTTTCCAGCTTTCATGCTTTCCCTGAGGGAACAAAGACAATAGCTTTGTTCCAGATTCTATAATTAGACACATCTAAACAATACTTTTATTCCAGAACTCTGATTTGACTGGCAGCTTTTCGCACAAGACTCAGCATCCCAACAAAAACTGCAAAGTTAAAACAGACCATAGGCGCCTCCAATCTGTCACCGTTTTTGTTAGCAACCACTGTTTTGTGCTTCAGAGAAAAGTGAAGAACCTTCATCATAAACCAAATGAATCACGTGAAGTTATAAACGGGGAGGCTGAAAGCATGCTTGCTAATCTCTTTTTTCCCCCTGCTACCTTCTGTTGATACTAATTAGTATTCTATGCTGCAACACACACACGGAAAGAAGTGCACGCCTCACACAAAGTGCTGGTTCAAATCAGGAAAAATAGTGTATTTTTAACACATTACTTCCGAATTCAAAGTATTAACGTAAACCAAAGTTGTTGTTTCAACATATTTGTCAGATAACATCATTCAAGGAACATGTTAAAACCAAGACTGGCTTACCATGTGATTTTAAAATGTGTAAGCTAACCTCCATAAACATCCAAAGCTGCGTGTTTTCTATAGTGTAGACAAAGACTGACAGAACTGATAATAATTCTTTAAAGAAAAATAGATGCCCTGGCTGTAACAATCTCTTGGATTTACCAGTAGAGATATTTACTTTAAAGACAGTTTGGGATTTAAATTGTTGAAAAGCATTCACGTACCAAAACCAAGGGGATGTCCTTTATTTCAGCAATGCGCATGTGCTATCTCTGCCAAAATCTTAATGCTCTGAAAAAGGTTTGTTTTCAAACTATTTGTAGAGACTTCTTCTGATTTAGCAGCTGAATTTGCAAAACAAGCCAATACTGTCTTAAATCTTTCTGGTCTTCCTGAGGTCATAAGCGTGCCAAAAAATCGCGTGATTTGCTTTGTAATTTGCCAGTCATTTTCAGTGCCCTCAGTCACTGTTAATAGAAGTGAAAAAGGAAGTTCACTCACTAGCAGGATTGTTTAGAGAGACTGAAGTTATTATGTTACTTTGAAAACTTCTATGACACTTTGTCCCCATGCCCCAACCTAGCAAAACCAGGTTATTTGATGTGTGGAATCCAGGAAGCAGCCCTCTGGAAAAAGAAATCTATTGTTACTTTGTCTATGGTAAGGATTAAGTAGTGTTTGCAGGAGCATCGTATGTGAGAACGAAGCGCTGATTCCTGGTTTTGTGAAAGGAAAGCCTTTTCCTTATTTAAGCTTTGTCAGAAGAGATGTGTAGAGTTCAACAGTGGCAGCTAACTGATGTTAAAAGTGGTGGGGTTTGATGTATTTTATAAGAACATAACTCAGAACTTTTCCTGAACCAGTTCTTTTCTGGACTACAGTGTGCGGGGTGGGGCGTTTCAAAATTTCCACAACAAAAATAAACTGTTAGGAATCCAGTCTAAGTGCAGTTCAATACAGGAGCCATTTGCAGTGGTCAGAACCACGCAAACAATACTGTAGAGGTATGTATAAGTGTAGTAAATTCCTTATTAGTCACTTCAATTACTCTCACTGGGAAGATGATGTAATTTCACTTCTTTAATAAAAACGGTGCTGCTTCATTTAATTCAAATATACTATTCAACACAGTGCTCGATATGGTATTAATAGAATTAACATACCACAGCTGGATAGCTAAAAAGTTGCCATTTTCAAAGTGTTACTTCACATGTAATTTAAAAATCTATCAGAGTATTTCATTTCTTGTACGCTAAACACAGGGGAGAGTACTCATTTTAAGCACCTGATTCAGGCTCCTCGGTAAGAACAAAGACACGCTCTTGACTGAGGAGCCGAAGTTGCACGGTCTTGATATTTCCATTTTGTCATCTGGATCAAGCGTATTGAAAAACTGCACCGTGTGCAGTCTGTGTTCACCTGGTAACTGCCCTTTCCTTCTGCTTCCCAGTGTTCTGCGTATACTACGTGACTCGCGGAATCCTGCAGGAGAATCGCCAGGAGCTCATTGTCTTTGTTCTTTCCATCTTGCTGGTGATGTTTCGCTCCATTGTCAACTTCACGGTTCTCTCTGCTGAGCAAAAGCCGAAACTCCTGGTTAGTCTCCTGGCTTTAATTAACTTTGCTTTTCTCCACATCTTGGATTTGAAAATCTTAGAAAGGCGTGACATCTGTGATAAGGGCACTGATAACAGACAAAAAGCAGGCTGAATTATTCCTGCCACTGAATGACAACATGTGCACCTCCACAACTGCCAGTCTCTTTCTCTGAGCTATTCTGTGGGTTTCTTTATGGCAGTAGCTGAAAGTAACAGAAACATCACAGAATTTTACTCACATAGCATTACCACAGAAGACAGCCTTTGCTTTACCTACTCTGCTTCAGATTTCTGTCTACAAAACGACTGGTGTAAAGTCACATAACTCTAACCTATGAGCAGAGCTGGAATCTCCACTCTGTGTGCAAGGACGTAGCCATTAGCCCCACTGCTCCATAAATGCAGCAGTGTCTTTTTAAGAGTGTTATGGTAACCTGCTGCAAGGAAACAAAAAGAGACAATGTGCTGGGGGAAATACTGCCACTGCAGATTACCTTGTTTGCATTTCGTAACAATAAAATGTAACACAAGGACTGTATTCTAGGCGTTACTAAGATTTGTAGTTCCAGCTTCTGCGTGCCATGCTTCCCAGAAGTCCTTCCCTTTTGTGGTCACATATTTATCACAAATGCAAGAAGGAGGTTCCTTGCAGTGAAGTCATCCAAAAATTATTCTTTGACAGAAGAGATAGCAACCAAGCTAGGAAGAGGCAGCGAAGCAGAATTTGCCTATTCAATTTGCATATCAGTGGTACATTTAGTTAAACATACTTATCTACAGCAAACTGGTTTGTTAGGGTCAATAAGGAACTGGCATCAGAGATGCAAATTACTTTAAGGTACGCATCCCAGTCATCCGTTTATAGATTAAACAAGAACCTCAAGGGAAAGCCTGGTGTAGAAGCTGTACTACTAAGGACTTTTTTTACTGCTATAAAAGTAACTTCGATTACTGTCACTCCTGCTTCCTGAGCAAAATTTCTGAGTGAGAATAAGGCATACTAGTATAAATATTCTCCCATCGATGTAATTATGAAGGACATTTTGCCACCTCAGCCATCTTTCAAGCAGCAGACATTTAGTGTGAATGCCAGCAAAGTTGTGGATACAATCCAGAGCAAACCAATGCTTTCCAAATGCATTCAGAATAACCCACCGTCCCCCCTGCAATCAACGGGGAGATTCTTACCAGCTGGCTGATGCCATACAGGAAGCTTAGAGCTGGTCTTTGTCAAAGAAAGCCGTTTCTTCAAACTGTACGATAAAACCTCAAACAAGACTTCGCTAAAAGTTGTCAGGACATTACAGGGAGTGCAAAGGTTATGTTTCTCTGAACAGTTGTAGAACTATTACACTGAGGGTAATGCAAACCGAAGCAGCCAGTGGGAGTTTAAAGTTATTACCAAGTAGTTGCAACAAATGGCAAAAATCATGGCCTGATCTTTGCCACTTAACAGTGTGGCAAACTGCCAGCATTAATTGTTGTTTCTTCAAAATGCTATTGCTAGGCAGCCTGGTTCTCCTTACCCCTTTCTCCTTTTATTTCCAGTTAGAAGATTTAAGGTTGAAGACTGTCACTGTTTTGGCGTGGCCAGTTAAATGCTTATTTCTCTCTCCCATCAGGCCCGCTTCATTCTGATCCTCTTGGTTGGCTCCTTTGACGTGATCTGTGCCCTCATCCTCATTCAGAGTCAAAGCATGATGGCCTTCCGAGTGGGTGGTGCTCTAGAAAGCCTACAGTCACAATACTTCATGCTGAACCTCTGTTTTTCCATGTTGACCTTTGATCTCCAGGCACAGGTATAGAACCCTCTCCCCCTGGGTTCCTTTTTTTCCCCTCTTACTGAGATCTCAGACTAGCTGAGCTGACCTATTCTGAACAATACAGATCTTACCTGTGTCTTACCTTTTAGGTAAGATTAGCTTAATAATGTTCATCTCTCCAGGTGTTTACTATAGGGAAGGTCAGTTAAAATCCATAAAAATGAATCAACATACATTTTATCATTGTCCTGCCCAAAAGGAAAACTGATTCTTATTTTTGGGAGGTATGTCCGTAAAAACAATTGCACCCAGAAGCTCCAATCCAACATGGCCTCCTAAAATAAGAAAGGTTATCAGTGCACGACAGCTCAGCCTGCAGGCTCTTGCTTTCCAGCCATCCTAGCTGTCTCCTCCATTTGAGAAAATGATACTGGATGGGAGGAGGGAGCCTGACCCAGCGGGGCAATCGGGGTGAGATTGCAACCTGAAGTTACTGATAATTGAAGTGAACCTGAGATGCGTTTAGAAAGAGTTTGCTTTACTACTGTATTACCTTATGCTTTATCTGGAGCACAGAGCACATGTTACTGCCTTCCCTGTTCTTTGTTGTTGCCAATATGGCATACAGGGAAGTACGTCTGTCCTTGTGTCCTGTTTTGTACTGTCTGCCAGCTTTTGAGGAAAAATTTTAGCCTTTAGACCTGTGCCCAACTTACAGTTGCTGGGAATTTGTGTCAAACATTTTTTGGTGGGCTGTATAGTCTCAAACTAACAGTTTTACCAAATCTTTGCCTCTTTTCTCTTTCAGCTCTGCTTGTGTGTTCTGCTGATAAGTCTGCATGAGATCACCCTTCTACATAACATCATCTCAGCAGCAGGGGCTCTTTGGGCCTGCCTGAAGGTGGCCGTTAGCATCGTCGCAGTAAGTTTCAAGCTAACAGTGACACTAGCAAGGATAGTCAGCTTCTGAGACTACAGGTTCTCACCCTGAGCAATTATCACAGGCTGGGAAGTCACAGCCGCCCCGTTCTACGTAATAGTGCTAAGTGCAAGTGAGCCAGAATGGATCCCAGCAGAAAACAAGAGCACCAACAGTAATGAAGTCAGGTTTCTCATGAATCCGTGTCTCTCAGCTGAGCATGCAGGATGAAACAATGTCACACTATCGTTATTCCTTTCTGAGGGATATTGTTTTATTCTCAGTCCTTGATCACCTACTTTAATGAAACCTATAGGATCACATTATCTTCAGTATTTCCACCTCTCTGACAAGGTTAGGTGAAACTGGCAACAGTCCTCCAAATTATTATCAAGATGGATATACAGACACAGTGAGACTGCATAGGCCTTATATCCTTAGGAAACCACAGCAAAAAGATGAGTGATCCTTTACTGGGACGGCTTCTTTAAAGCTGAGCGACAGTTTTCACCTTAACATAAGGATTTGTGAACTTGAAATGTAGTTTTTCGTGTCAGTCAGACTGAACTTCCCCTGAAATCCTGAGAGCTCTGTTCCAAGAATAATTGCAGAATCAGGGCCAAAGTACATCAGATATGTGAGTCTCTTATTACCAGGAAGCAGTTTAGGGGATTTTGGGTTTGTTGTTTTTTTAGGCTCCTTGAGTGTTTGCTTTAGCCATTCAGATTCCTGATAGCTGAAATACACTTTCCAAGTGTTTTGATTGCTTTCCTTGCTAAAAATGGAGCTAGCACCAAGCACTGTGCTTTTAAAATACGTTAGTAACTAGACAGGACTAACTGCAAGTGTGACACGTAGGAATGCAGGCAGGGAAATTACGGCTGGTTTTCTGCTGGAGCTCCCCACACACCTTTGTGAGGCACTGGGTCTTTGCTGTCAGTTAGATTGTATCAGGTGTGGAAAGAGGGGAGGAGTTAGAACCATTTCTGCTTTCCTGCGAGGATGGAAAGTGTAAACCTCGCAGCTACTTTTCCCCACCATCAGAAACAAAGTTGATCTGACCAGTTGCTGTTCGGAGATCATGAGCTCTGCTTCTCCTTGATTTGCCTTTAGGCATAAAAAGAGGCACTGTTTCTTTTAAGAAAAGGAAGAGGCGCTTCAGTTAGATGATCTCATGTCTTAACATATATGATGTTCCTTATGCTTTCATCAACAGCAAGCGTGTTTCTTAATAGTCCAACTAGTAATAGTAAATGTCCTAGGGATAAGCACATATTCTTGCCCTTTGCTCAAAACTGCCTACATTAGAACTACTTGGAAGCTACTTTATACCCAGCCTAGGTACATTACTGACTTCTCCACTGGAAGAAGTTAATGGCTTCTTGTCTAACTAAGAAATAGCAAATATAAAATTAATGAAAAAAAAATATAGTGCTGTATTTCAGTAACTGGCAGCCCTGCAGGGCAACAGCAGCTTAGAAAAGGTGGATACATTCAGGAGAGCCTGGTAGCTTGCGTCCGAGGCAAGAATGATTCTGTCTCAGGCTACAGCATGTGGACAGTTTGAGAGAGGGGTGACAAGAGGAACTCTTTTTCCTTACCCTGTTCAGAGAAGTTTTTCACAGTCGGCTTCTTGCAGATGATGCAGCAGTAGAGAAACACCTATCGTTGTCTTGTCTGGCGCTCTCAGAAACTGTGCCTGCTGTGAGGTTGTTATGTACGAAGGGTATGGAGACATACCTAATCCACCAGAAACTGTAAGCATAACAGAAGGGAAAACTTGGAAACTCCTCACAGTCCTTCCTGGTAACCGCAGTACCTGAAGTCACAGCTAAACCTCACGCTCCCTTATTTCTGGGTTGATGCACAAGTCATTTCACAAGGGGATTATTCATTATTTTTCTCCTATTTATACACATGTTCTCCCATTTACTTAGTGGATTTGGTTTTCCTATCCTCATCATTTATTTTTTCTCTTTTCTCCCATTAATTATTAATTCTCTCTTTCCCTCTCCTCTTGTTTCTCAGCCTTTGTTTTCCTTGCCCTTTTGGTCTTGTCCTAAGAGGAGCACTACGTAGTACCACGGAAAATGGAGACAATAGTAGAGGTTGCAGCGAACAGACAGACTCCCTTAGGAGAGGGACAGTTTCCTTCATGCTTTTGTAGAGGTTCATACAGTGACCATTGCAGAAGGATGAGGACTGGTTTGGGGCGAATCTGTGGTTGATCAGATGCATCAGATCTTACCACGCCACTGGCGCACTCACTGCTTTCCTTCCCAGTGACTCAGCTCTTTTTCTTTCATTCGCTCAGACCTGCCCTTCCAGTTCAGGACTGCTGAAAGGTGCTGCCTGCTGGGAAGCAGACTACCGTTTCTTCTTTCCCAAGTACCCAGGCTAATTGTGAAACAGTTTTTCTGACAGTTAAATCCTCTTGCTTCTCCCACATTTTAGTTTTTGGTGACTTTACTTCTCTGTAGAAACAAAGGTGGAAAAAAAGTCACAGAGCACTTTTAGTCTGTTAGCTATGAAAACATTAATTTGTTAGAGAAAAATCTGAGCGTACCCAAGGAAAAAGTACATCAGCTCAGAAGAGTCAGCTGCTTCTCCATTTAAGCTAACTGCGAGCTGTACTGCAGGTATTTATTAGAAGGCAGAGCTCAAGAGGATGCTGAGATGGCTCAAATCACACACAGCTGTCAGGATGTGCCCATGAAACAACCAGTGCTGGTTTCACCAACATCACTGGCCCAGCTCAGTGGAAAGCAGATGGTACTGCCTGCTAAAAAAAACAGACGTAGGGAAGGCAAGTGGAGGGGAAAGTTACAGCTAAGAACTCAGCTAGACCAACACTTGAAATGCTATGGAAAAATCAACTATATGTAGCCTTTAGAGAGTATATAGCAACGAGTTACAAAGCTGTATATATCTCATCTTATTTTACAGATTTTAAAAGAACTGAAACCTCTAGTGTGGATTTTTCTGAGTCAGAACGTACCTGAAGTAGTTTATCTCATCTACCTGCTTTACACGGTAATTCATCAAACTTACTTGCTCAATAAGGGGAGCAAGGCTGGAGGCCCCCTTTTCACTACTGGATCCTTGTGCCCCAAACACGGTGCCTCGTTCCTGAGCGTACCCCTTCGTTGCAGCTCCTGTTAGAATCGATGAGAGCAGCAGGCACATCCTGCCTCTTCAGGATCAACATTTCAAGACAGGAACCATGTCAAGTTGCTGTTGAACTGATTACTTAGAAGGAGAAGCCCTGGCAGTCTCTGCAACTGGCAAAGTGTCCAGAACGATTAGGGAAACATGACACAAAATTTTAGATACATAGCTCCTAAAAAATGCCTCCCCTCCTTCACGAGAAGTCTCATGTGGTGCCAAAGCATTTGACTATCTGCAGGGCCTCAAGTCATTATATTTTAAAGAATTTCTTAGGCAGCACCCCCAGCTGTCGATCCTGATGTAGCCAAAACAAGAGACAGTGCGAGCCCAACAAACTCCAGTGTTGGGCTTTTTTTTGGCACTATGATAGTGATAAAGCACTTCTCTCTGAGGCACACCAGCACCTCCCGCAACCCATGTGTGAAAGGAGGTAACAGAGAGGAAGGGCAAAGCAGATTGTTCCTGATGGGAAGGGCTCGGATGCTGATAGCAGCCGGTGTTTCTCACACTTCACATAAACAGTCTCCAGATACTGATAAAAGCCCAGCAGCTGCAGACATCCAAGTCCTTGGGGTTCTATTTATTAAAGTATGCAGTCAAATCAAGCTCTTCCAGTTACTCACAGGCAAGAGGACCACACACTGCTTTTGGTGGCTGTACTTGTATTACGTTTAGGAAGAAAAGTACAGGTGGTGGGTTCTGGCACAAGAGTAACAAAAAAAATTTCTCCAGCCCCCCCCCCCCCCCCAATTACTATCTAGTGCCTTATTTCAGAAACTCAGTTGCTGATTGCATTTTATGGCTTTGGGGTTTTGTGGCACTAGGTGCTGATTGTTGTATGTCTCCATTTTCCTGCAGGTGATAAGGGAGTGGGGCAAAGGGAATTCATACACTCTGGAAGCTGCATTCATTACCGGCTCTTGCATTTCTGTTGCAATAAAATCTGTTCTGTTTTGGGCACTGATTCATGTCTACCGCAGCTTCGGACAGGGGCTGAGAGAAAGAAGTAAGTACTTGCAAAGGTTAACTTAACTATGACAGTTGTAGCCTATTGTATCACAGTCATAATTAAGTAGAGAAAACAGTTAGGGATAGTTACAGTGAAAGGCAGATCCCTAATGACATCGAGCACTAGTGCAGCCCCAGAATTCACTGGCCTGACAGAGTCCAGAAGCTTGGATGTGATTTCTCCCTGAAGAAATCTGACCTTAGTCAAAATTGCTTCCAACCTATGCCAGAATTGCTGCCATCCAGAAAAACAGACCTAGGTGGAAAGATCTCCTCTATGCAAGACACATGTCATTTTTCTTTATCATGATGTAAAACTGCCTTACAGTAACTAAGAGAGACAGAATCAAGGGACCTAGAGAGCCACTGATCTTAAACTACCTAAACTTCCTTTTACAAGAAGGACAAATGCTGCTAGGCATGTGTTGACTGATCTTCCTTTCTTCCCACAGTGTTTTCTTCCTATGGAAGGATCGACTCCTGAGCACCCCCGCTGTGTTCTGCCTGCAGCTCTTACAGAGTGAGGTCAGAGCTGGGGAAATTCTCATCAAGTACTTGCATTCCGGACCCGAGACAATGGGTCAGTTTCACAGAGGTCGAGGAAGTTGCTCAGAAAGATGTCTGTACGTTTCTTGGTTTGTGTTGAGCTAGGGAACTGTAGCAGTGCAGCTGGTAACTTAGTTTAAAAAGCGAAGTGCGCTCGGGAAATTAACAGTAATCCTCTCAATTCAGTGAGTTTTGCTGACTGACAACGCATCTTTCACTCCTTGTTTTCCTGATGTTGCTTTGTAACCGCAGGGCGTTCACAACATGCATGTGAGTAGAGAATGTTGTTAATATAAATGCTGCTTTTCTGGATATACACAAACATAATGAAAATAATTCGCACACCCGTCTTTTATGACTGAGTCGAGAAGCAGATTGCCCTGCCATCATTTCTCGGCTCAGAGCTGTTGCTGGACAGAGGTCAAGCCCTGAAGTTGTCCTGATGACAGCCGTATTCCTTGCTCTCCCCTGCGGCTGGGTGATGGCTTAACCCCACCAGAAGGGCTACGGCTCTCCTTCCTCCTCTGACTTCAGAATATTTCATTTTTTTTTAAATCCCAGCTACACATGAAAACTACTCCATGTAATCTCACACCTTCCTAGAGTGTATCTAACCAACGTGCCATTTCATACACAAGGGTGACTGTTATTAAAATAAGCCTTTAATACTGTAATTTAAAAGTTTGGAATTTTATTGATTGGAACCTTTAGCTACTGGCTGTCTATTTTTTAATAAAGTATAAACCCAGTTTGCACATGGATAATTATTTCTTGTACCAGCACTCTGAGTTCAACGGGAAGCCTGGTTACAAGCTGAGTGGGGAAGAGGCTGGACCTGCAGTTCACACGTGCTGTGAGCGTTGCCGTCACCTTCCTCTTCAAACACATCCTTAAACTGCAGGTACTTGCATACTGCAAAAAGTAGTTAAAATAGTTTATTGCAGCTTATTAGGGAAATTTACAAGGATGATCTCAAAATTTCTATTAAAAAATATTTTTCTCATCCTAATCTTTTAAGCTTGAAACAAATCTATTCGATAGATAGCACAGTGGAGGCACGAAGAGGTTAAAGGTCTATGGCCAGACTGCGCACAGCTGACAAAACCAAGAGAAAGCACGAGAGTGCCAGCTGATGGCTGTGACTTCATTCCACAAGTCAAAATGTGACTCTGAACTGTTGCCGAAATGGAGGAACACAATTAAGCATGTTCAATCCTTTCCTGAAACAGGCAAACATGTAGCAGGTCTTGCCTAGAGCAGGCACAGCAAGGAAAGACTTCGATCTTGCAGTAGGCCTCTACTTGGTTGAAATCAGAAGAAGAAACTAGGCTTGTGCTACGCTCCTTTTATCTTCCTAGCAAGGAGGTGGCAGAAACAGTTGTATCATTAGAAGTAAAAGAGTTGTGATGGCATTCAAACATTTGTCTCCCCAAAAGCAGAAATGCGTTGTTATGCCTTGGTGTATTAACCTTCATATTTTCACAAATGTTCTTACTCCTGACTAAGGTCTTGCTGAGTTCCCGTGGCAATCTGCCCGCTCTTGTTCACAAGGCCTCGAAGCTAATACTTGTGTAGATAAAGAGCTGCTAGGCTGAATCTGTGGGAGTTTCCTGATACGCAATCCTGTCCTGATCTACAGACAGTATCTTTGGCCTGCTCTAAACTGAAGCACTTTATTTTTTCCCAGCCACTCTATGCCAGATGTAGACAATCACTAAACCAGCTGGTTCAGACAACCAGCTTCACATTTTCTATTATTAAAGCAGGAGATTAATCCAGCTAAATCCAAAGTTAACTTCGGATAAATTCAGAAGTTACTCATCACATTTTTTTATTGGTATTTGCCAACAGAAGAGGAAGACAAAGGGAACAAACCATACCCTGACAAACAAATGGAAGCTACTGCTCTACACGTCATCAAGACCTTCCCCTGTCAAAAGCGTTTAGCAAGTTTTACCCAGAACGATACCTAAAAGGAGATCTCAGTTTTAGGTAATTTGTGCAAATTCTTCACATAACACGTGACAAGGACACAAACATTTCCTCCTCTTTGATCAATGTTCTTTTCTGTGCTACATGAGAAGTCCCTCAAAAACAGCCTGTAGAAAGGCTGCTTCTTCATGTGCAGTAAAATCAGTGCACCTGACAGGAAGAAAAAGTCTGAACTGCTCATACACTTCATTTTTACATTATTATCTCCTACCTGTTCTTGTTTGAAGCCTTTGATTCAATTTTTCATCGTGCATTACTGAAAAAATGAATCAAGTTGCTATTTTCCCGTCACTATAAAGTACTGGTTGCTTTAATTGCATTTCTCTGGGTAGTTTCCTGCTTTTCTGTTTGAGGACAATACACAAGACCAAACTCTTTCCCCTTTGTGCTCGTGACTCCCCTTAAGAAAGCTTCCAGCTGCTGTGCACATGTGCAACAGCTGATACTAATTTGGATTCCAGAAAATGTAAAAAAACCACAGAAAGACAATTTGAGAAAGTAAGGAAGGGCCTTTAGGCCTTGCAATCCTGTGCCCCAAAGGAGGAAGCCATTAATTGGCATGGCTAGTTCAAATTGTCTTCAGAACATAATCATGTTTTTACGAACCAAATCCCAATACCAGTGTAAGTGCCATCTGCTTCTCTACCACCCCTTTCACTGGCCATGCAGTCAGTCACCCCACAGCTGCACAAGGAGGATGATGCTGTCGTCAGGAGGTCAGACTGCTACACAAAAAGGGAGACCCAGATTAAATTAAATTTAGTATTTTGGGGAACAGCAGCAACAAGTACAAGCTGTGTTGACCTTCGCATCCAGTATGAGGGTTTTTTTGTACTTCCCACAATAGCTGTGATCCACAGTGCCACTCGATGCTGTGTGAACAATCGAGATTAAACCACGTGTTGGTACCAACACCCATTTCAGCTTACCCCACAGGCATGCTGCAGGGCGGGGCCAAACTAGAAATAGATGGTCTCAAGCTCCACATAGGTTTATGGCCAAATCTTCCTATTTTGGACTACTTCACATTCTCCTAATTCTTAAAAACCCAGGGGAAACTGATAGGGCCATTTTTTAATCAGCCCAGCTGAACTGATTTTGTGCCAAAATTTTTGATGCCTCAGCTTGGAAAGACTGGGGGTGGGGAGTACTTTTTGCTGGTTCAAACTATGGCGATTAACAGCTCTCCATGCCAGACTGGGCTGTTTAACCCAAAACCAGTAAGAAGCCTTCCCTCTGGCAAGACAGGACTAGCAGACTGCATACGGACTATCTCAAAAGAATCCTCTGTAACAGGAGGGTGCAGGCCTCGGCAGTGCTGTTCCCCTGCTCCACGCGCAGGCAGCAGAGTGCCACTGACGCAGAAATGCGGGGTTATCGTTTTGGCCATGGACAGCAAGAGTTGTCACTAGCCAGGCGTGAGCAGATGGGAAACTAAGGTACCTTGTAAAGCAAATGAACTCCATTTAAAAGCAGCTGTATTACCTGCATAAGATATTTCCTCACATTTATCCATCATTTGACATACATGCACTGTTGGAATAGGTTACAGGTTCATTATGAAACCATAAAAAAAAACTTGTAATTATTAGCCATAAGTTTCATGGAAAAAGTGCGTAGAACTTGGTGACAACGTGCAAAGGCAAGAATAGAATGGGCATTGAAACTACATCTTCAATCTTAAACTTACTAGGTATCCAAATTATCTGAAGTTACCTCAGATTACTACCCTTATCTATTTCTTTCCTCATTTTTCTACTTGTGGGCCTTCAAAAAAGCAGTTAATGTAGCCCACCTAGCTGCACAGAAGATTTGTTTCAACTTGCAGAGCAAATCCAGCTTTATTTTGAAACTTTTGAGGAAAGACTGGTATCAGACACAGACATTCAAAAAAGCCTTCAGTATATTTCTAGAAAACAGACGCTAGTGTCCCATGAGAAAACCTACCAAAACCCCACAGTGGACATTTGCCTTCCATGCAAGTAACTGTGTATACCTGATTTTATATTCCCAACAGTCAAAATGCTGCTTTACAAATCCAACTTTACAAAAAGATTTTATTGAAAGGATTGAAAAATATTTGTTTTCAACAATATTTAAAACAAGTTTTCATAGCATTAACAATATGTAACAGGATTTTTCCTCTTTTAAAAATTCAGTACACTGCTTTATTCCATACTACATCAGTTGTCAATAACTTCTTAACCTCTCTACTATAGAATAACTTTTTTTTTAAAAAAAAACACAAATTAATTTCCACAGGCTTCCCTATTGGCCCTTTGTAGACTGGAAAGGGGTTGTAGTACAGTAACATTTACAAACCCTCATGTTAGAAACACTGCTCTTACTCAGCAAAAACCTATTTTACTAATACAGTTTAAACAAGTTACTTTGAGTAAGCTACATCGGCAAAGTGAGCATTTATTGCCAATGTCCCAGAATCAGACAGCGTGATGGGGTCGGAAGGGCCCTCTGGGGATCGCCCAGTCCAGTCCCCCGCCACAGCAGGGTCACCCACCCAGCGCAGGCTGCACAGCACCCGGCGGGGTTGGAGTATCTCCAGAGGAGGAGGCTCCACAACCCCTCTGGGTATGCCCACATCTGCATCACAGCTGTTTTCTGGTTCAGCTGTGGTCTGAAGAGAAGTTAGCCACACCTTACACAGTTAAATATGCAAAACTTGAGGGCTGGTTAAAACTCACTAGCCTGCTTGTGAATTGCTGGTTTGCAGATTAAAGGCCTTGAAAAGGGACTTTGTACGGTCAGATAAATTTGTAATGTATTAACACAATTTGGGTTGTGTTTTGATATAAAGCAGCTAGTACAATTACAATCAATGCAGCTTTCTGAAGAAAAAGCAAAGACTAAAGTCATCATATGACTTTCTTTCCTTTAGTCAGTGATTGTAACTCTCTACGTGGCTGATCAGTAACCCAAATAAGATTGTTATCAAGCACGAATAGTTGTACAAGCAAAACTGCAGAAGCCTCAAAGCCAGTAACGCAATTGCAGTACATGATAAATTTAAAGACAACTCCTAATCTAGATCTAATCTAGAAAGTAGTTAGGTAAGTTTAGATTTCATGAACTACGCACTCTGAAAATTAAAATTCGGCAATTTAGTCAATAATATATTTACTATTATAAAAAGCATAAATAAAAAGTGCTGAATATAGTTTTATCTTTAAAAAAATACTAGATAAGGCTCATTAATCATTTCGACTCACC